TTTTTTTTTTTTAATTAGTCCTGGTGAGGAAATGTTCCCATAAATGAGAACATAATGAGTATAAAACAACATTGAATAAAATAAAATTTTAATCAATAAAAATTGATTTAATTGTATCCTTTTCCATTTATAATAAGCATGCATTCTGTGAGTCACTAAGTAAAATTATTGTACATATGTAAAAATTTTTATGGAAAACACTTGATTTAGATTGAATAAACTCTGACACAATGCCAAATGTATTAAAATTTATGCCTGGATCACCTAAAACAGGAGAGAAAGCAAACAAAGATTTATGATTCCTAATCACAGATTTCAAACTTGTTTGGCTGTTTTTAATGAGACCCATCCAAAAAATCTTTTTTTTTCTTGTACTTAAGTTTCCTTTTTAAGCAGAATTTGACATGATACACAAAATTCAAAACCCTATCACATCATAGCAATATAAATAAAATATACATGTACATATTTATAAATAGAATATAAAATATTCAGGTAAAATTCAAATGTACAATAGAAAGACTTTGTAATGGCACTAAACGGTAGATTTTGTTTCCTTGCTTGAATTTAACAAGCTATTTACAAAGAAACAGATTGAAAGCTAAAGGGGTCTATCCAATGTTAAAACATGAGACAAACTGGGTTTGTCAGTATTAATTTTCAAACTTCATTGCTGTAGAAAACATATGTTCCTGGAACACTGAAATAACATTTCTAAAAATTGAGATCATTTTAAATAATGCTTCTGGTAATATGAGAATTGCAATGAATACTACTCTTTAAGAGTTAACCTAAGACACATGTCAATAATTTAGACATTAAAAAGTCTCTTGAAACAAGAGGTAAGCAAAAACAAAAAGTAATTTATGCTTGATACAAGACATACTTATAGTGCTTCATAGAAGCTACTTGTGTCATTGGATTCAATAAGATCACTTAAATCGAATGACTTTATCTCCCCTAGCTCCCCCTTAATGACCCCACACCCCCCAGGGAGGCTTTCAAGTCCTCCAGGCACAATTCCAAAATCTTTATCTGTGGTATCACATCCCATCCCTGTATTCTCTTGGCCCCACGATTTTCTCACCTTTCCCTCTCCTGTTCCCCTAAAAGCTTCCCCTAAGTTCCATTCTACCCCCTTAGTGCCTATAGCAACCTCTTTTCCTCCCTCAGTATCCCTTGATATCCCCATAGGGAGCCTTGAACTCTCCCCCTTACAGCCAAATGTCTCTCCTGCATTCTGCACTATCCCCTCTATGTCAATAACACCCTGTTCAGCACCCCCAGTGTCCCTCGATGCCTCCATTGGGCATCCAAAGTCCCCCCATACACCCACATATCCACCCACTCTTGTACCAGTGAGTTGTTTCTCTGTTTCCCCATACCCCTCCCTTTGTTCCAGAGTTCTCGGTGCTTCGCAAAAAACATCAGGCGTGCTCCTGCCTCCACCTTCGGAAGCTTCGCCATCAGAATCGTTCGCGAGAATTGCATCGATGTCCATAACAAACTGATAGGTAAACTGCTGGCCACGAACCTTTTCCAAAATGGACTTTCCATAGTAATACCGCAAACCTCGCGCAAGCTTTGCAAAATTCATATTGGTCTTTTTCTTCTGCTCTCCCCATAGGGCCGCCAGTTTATCAGGCTGCAAAATGCGAAATTCGTATTTGTCTTTCTTAGTCCATTCCACAAGAGGCTCTGACGATGAAGAAACGAGCTCTGACAAAATTAGTTGCCACAGCTGAATTGGTCCATTGCCTGAGGAAAGAATAAAGGATTCTTAACGAGGCCCACAGAAAGATAACCTAACCTTGGGAACATGTAGGATCCTCAATCGCTGACCATAACGTTTGGACTTCCATGAACGGGTGTTAATCACTTCTCCTCCTTAAGGGAATGGTAGTTCAAAACAAGTTTCTCACCGCCCCCTCCTTCCCTTTCACTAGAGCATCGTTTCCTTGACGGATATCAATACTCCTGAGTACAAACATTCGGTCGCGAAACCGACAGAATCATATCACATCTTATACGCGTGTCTTTCTACTTCGGAATTAGTTGGCATTTTACATCACTATCCCAATAACAAACTTTTTGTGAGGTTGTATTTCGTTGTTTTACCGATCTGTTCAAGTGAGGGAATGTTAACATCTCACCTGGTTAGACCTTAGCTCAGGCAAAAGTTTTAAAATGTCAACTTACCGTCGTACATTTTCTTTGGTTTTGGACCTCGATTTCTTTTTCTTGCTCGATGCTTGTTGCTTGCTGCCCGATTTTCTGTATTTTCTGAAATGAAGAGCAATGTAATGAAAAAGTGCAGTTCACAGGTACATAGATATGGGGATAGGCTACTCGGAAATCTTACAGATGTCTTTTTTTTTTTAATTTTGTTACTGAAAGAACAGGGCTCCCTCTGAAAATTCTTAAGGAATATAACATCAAAATAAATTGGAAGATTACGCATGTTACCGGGTAAATGTTGTATAATTTTGAATACTGTGACAATTTTTTTTTTACTGTTTATATTCCAACTCTTGCTTCAAGCGTAGCCGAACCTGTGACTTTTTGTAAGAATTTTTACAATTTTTGGCTGATTTAAATCATGCAGACATTTGATACGTACGTCAATTTATCGGCAGGATGTTTCTTCTTGTCTAAACATTCGTTTCGCAATATTCAGGAAATAACAAATCTTCATCACAAAAGCATCAAGGGAAGGTGCGATGATGCAAATAAATCGCGTGAAAATTGCGCAACACAATTTACACTAGACTTAATACAAAAGAAGGCTCGATATCCTGAAAATAATCATACATTCATCACACAACCTTATCAGTTTAGACTTCCACTATTTAGACGAATGATTACCGGTGTCATAGAATATTTTCTGTATAATTACGCATTTCATCGATTGACCGCAGTTTCCGCCTCTTTATTTATTTACAATATCATGATGTCATTACTTTCACACTCGACTGATGTTACTTTGTACTGGATAAGCCCATAAATAGATATAGAAAATGATTTTTTGGCTCTCACAAGTGATTCCCCTAGCACTCTGAAAAATTTAATTCAAGCGAATCAGGACAATTTGACAGTTTCTTGAAAATGTCGCGTGACTTTTTCTCGAAGACCGAATCTATCCAACGACGGTCACGCGAAGATACCAAGAATCCAAAATTTGTATTGAAGAAAAAAGGGAAAAGAAAAAGCCAACACAACAATAACAAATAAATTGTAAAATAAACCTAAATATCTTACCTTCTTGAGGACAGTCTGGCAGTTTTTTCGGTGGAGCTATTTGTGAGGAGCCCATCGTTAGGGAATCGATGCGAGAAGGCTGCACCGGATTCACTACAGTTGCACCAGGCGATAGAAATTCTTGATATCCAACGTTGTCCAGTAGAAAATTCTTTATCTAAGGAGAGACAACAACAACTACGTCTTTAACTGAAATACACTGTCGAGTTCACGCCATTTAGTTCCTCTGTAAAGTTAATTTTACGAGAAAACCTGTAACAACTATGAACATTGTAGTATCAATCTTTGCTGATTTAATCGAAAATTTAGGTCTGTGGTCGTTCATATGATTTAAAGATCTCTTAAAAAATTTAGAGTAAACAAACCAATGCGGAAAAAAAGATTCTTAATGTAATTATTTCCTATTACTGGTCTCAAATTTGTTAACTGGTTTTTGTTCGGCGCTGACACTGGTATCGATGACTACACCGTGCCCGAAGACTTACCCTGGTTAACTGGATGTTTCGATTTGGGTTGAACACATTCATCTTTCTCTAAGTAAGAGCTTCGAACGCTGGTAGACTTTACCAGCAAAAATACCGGCGATTCCGAGTGTTACACTCAAACACAATAAACGAACTAAACTCCACATCGTGTGAATAATTGTTTTTATAAATGTGGTAATTGAGGAGCACGTGACAAATCTTGACTGACGTCATTTGTAAGCTTGGGCGTAACAAGACTTTAGCAATAACTTAATTGCTGTATTATGTGAAAATCGCACGTCAACGGCCATTGAAATTTCAAGAATGGTATGTTTCATTTAATAGAACTACATGTCATTACCATTCATCTCGACTCTTTCCAGGTTTATGTACTTTGAAGTCGAACTGGAGCGGCAAGAAAACGAAAAAAGTCTAATAGCCTGGGGGATGATAAATTTTATTTCGTATCTTCACTCAATTATTTACTTCTTTTTTGCTCTCTCTTTGCCGCCCATATTCGTGGATTTTATGGACACTTTGCAGTTTATCTATCAAAGGGAAAGCAAGAGCTGAATTTGCTCAAGAAATTTTGTTTTGCGTTGATTATTCATATGTCGATTGCGCAATATCTTGTCATGTAAACTGACCCTATATCCAAGTTATTCTACAATCTCAGTTGTCAACGCTGCACAAGTTGCTAGGAGAACGTAAATTCTTTCAAATCTCAGATGACTGGGATTAGAAACTTGCACAACTTAAACGAAATACGTACGGAATCCATGCTCCTTGAAACCAAATCGGAATGATGACAATTTACATTTTTAGTATCACGCATTCATGGCATGGCGTGAATGTCAAACTTATGCAAAGTAGCCTGTTGGTGTCCTTGAGCAATTGCATATATGCACGTACACTGTGACTAATTTTAGCTCATGACGAAGACAAAAGCTTCTTGGCGTGACAAGCGGTTCATTTTGTTTCCCTAAAAGGCCATTGTGTGTTTCTCTTTTAGGATTGGGGTCTAGCTCAGCATAACGGTGGCGTGATCCTCTAAAGCAAAAAGGTCACAAAAATATAAGAAAGAAATTCGTGGGAGGGCTGTGAAGAAGAACCACGAGAAAAAATACATGATAACCGAAGTAAATTTTGATGCTAGTAAAAACAATTCTTGCACCAGCTCTCAGCCAGAAAACAAACAAACAAAGAAACACATGTATCTTTTATAACCGAAGGCGAACGGCAAAAAAATAAAAGGAAACATATCTTTTGTCGATGAACAGTAGAATAATGGATGGAAGGCAAAAAATTAGCGAACTCATGTGCTCTTTAATAAGCGGAAATTACTTCCGTTCTTCCATTCATTCGTTCATCCGGGTTTTCATTAATTCATTCGTTTGCTCATGCATTTATGGCTAATCCACTGATTTATTGATTAGCTCATTTATTGATTTCCCAATTCATTTATTTTTTGGTTCATATATTCATTCGCTGACTCATCCATCCCATCCATTCATTCATTCGCTCGTTCTTTCATTTAACTATTTTTTTCACTCTACAATTGGAATTTAGGACTCTGCTGTGTCTAGCCTTCTGATACTAATTCATGTACACGTCCTCTTCCATATCAATAGGGTATTGGTCACTTAGAGTCTTTCGGCTGATGGTCATGTTTCTCTAATCTCTAAGAGCGTAATATCTACCCTCTTTACACACTTTGTTATTCTCATTCTGTAGCTGTAACTGTGAAATGAAAACGCACGAATTTAAGAAAAGTTCACACGACGTATGCCTCAAACAGTACTTCACGCATCACGAATTAAAAAGGAAAACTTCAAATTTACCTTTCTGTAAAATTTACGCGTCACGCATTAAATTTGGGCTTAGTAATGTGTCACGCATAAACCATATACCCCCTCTTAGAATGTTTCTAGTCAGAAAACCTAATCTCAGAATATTTATTTTCGTGAACGTCTCCTGAAATGTTAATCCTACGCGTTTTCACCTTCCCAATGACATTTCAGGTGAATTGGGACAAGTGTGGCTCAATAGTTGTTGGAGAGATGCGCAAATTCAAAATACCTTTTGTGAATATGGAAAAGATTTCTTAGCAATGAACACTACTTAAGCAGCAGTGAAAATAAGGCCTTAAAAAAATTCAGGTCTGTACGGAATTTAAACCCATGACCCCTGCACCGGTATCGAAGAGTTCTTTGTCCGCAGTTCACATACATGATTTTCATACATTTCATTTACAGTCATTAAATAGTTTTTTCGATAAAACTGATCCCAAAATGAATTGGTATTGAGTGTAGGTATGATATTTTGATCGGCCTTGTTTTCGAGAAAACCTTGCTCCACTTTTATAGGCGTGTAATAGCCTCTTCTAGGCTATCAGTTTGGGGAGACTGGAAAAAAAACGAACGCCAGAAATTTGAGACGGGTGTAGACGCAGCGCTTGCTTGCGGCACTCCCAAACGGCTACATTTTGCATCTTTCTCCGCGCCGGGCCCCTTATTTTGCGAACGCCATTTTTCGCGCGTCCTCTCTCTCTCTCTCTCTCTCTCTTTCTCTCAAGAAAAGAAAAGAAAAGAAAAGCTCAAGAAAAGGGACGTGCAATGTGCGTTATGTAACAGTAAAAACTAACAAACAAACTAATGTTTCACTAGACCGTACTCGTTCTGTTTCGCTGAAAATCTTCTATACGTCAGTTTTTGTTGCTCTGTTGTTGTGTCGCATTTTATGTCGTGGTTTTCTATTACATTCGGTCTTGCTGTAACGGCAATCTCTCTTCTTCGCCACTTCCCTTGGTTCACAAAGGAGGCCTAAGCTGTTGTGGGGTTATTCGAATGTCTATTTCATCTATCTAAAGAAATTTGTTATGAAGTAAAGCAACGAAGAGTTCTTTATCGTGATGTTAACATTGCGAAATATATGAGGTAGCCACTGAACAAGAAAGAAACCCTCCAATTATAGTCCAATAAAGTAGTATTCATTTTTATTTGTCTTCTTTTGCATCCTTGAGTCAAACGATGTTAGCTGAAATATTGCTGGGCAGTAGCAATTTAAGCCTTAAAATAAAAAGAAAGTCCATTATCTTATGAAAATGGTCAGTTGTCATGCAAATAAACTCTTGCTTCATGTAAGCAGGAGCCCATTAATGGCTCCTATGTAAGATAATGATTGATGTTCCCTCGAAACATTATAAGGTCTAGTCCAGGTCTTGGCATGCAAATCGAACCGGATTAAAAAGAGAGAAACCTGAGGAGAGGACAAAACTGCTCTCCGTATGTGTACGGGGGTGGGGAGAGTGATAGTGATTTCGCGCGCACAGATTGAGAACTTGACTACTGAATATGATGGCACTTTTTGTTTGGACAATTAATAACGGAAGTATCCCCCGTGAATTTAATCCACAATCTCGAGCACCTTCGAAAACCCCTGTTATTCGTACTGTAACCCCCAAAACCCCACCACCCCCGCCTGGGATACACTCTTATAATAAAGGGAAATTTGAAGATGGGAGAACTTTTCAGTCTTCAAGAACCAATTCAAACTTGATATAGAATAACATTTTAAAGGTTATCCACAATGCTCTTTATATAACAAAACCTTTCGATTACCTATGAGCTTGTTGAATCTTGACCAGCTAAGAATAGCCCTTATCTATTCATAAACCATTTGCTTCTTCTCTATGGCTTGTAAGAATTCGGCATTTTTTGTCGAATGAAAAGCGCGGAAATCAGAGGTGTTAGGTTCAATGTTTAAAAAAAAAAAGGATTCAGGTTTTTTTTTAGGCTCACGCCTGCAACAAAAAAAGAAATTACAGTTTTCTTTCCAGGACCGTGTTTACAATTGACTATCTTTCGTACTCTATTTACCCAAACGATGCTTTCGACAACGATCATCTTAGCCGTGTTTAGAACGCTTGTCTTGTTAGAACCTACATATAGGGACCTGGCACTAGCTCAGTGGAAGAGCTTGGGCGCGGAATTCGAAGGTCTATGAGAGGCAATAATACATTGTAAGCCATTAAACAGGTAAAATATCGAAAAGATTGAACGAGTGTTCTTCGTTTTGGTGGGGACCCCCTCGTGTCAGCTGGGGGAGGGGGACGGGATATGAATAAGATTCAGAAGCCCTCGTGTCACAGACTATACACCACATGGCATGGAGGAGGGAGGTCTGCGCTATCGTTTTTCGTTCTTCGAAATTAAAGCTTCGAATTTTCAAAACGTGTGTAGATCTCGAATTTACTGGCTTAGTAAGGGAGCCATGAGGTGTTTGATGCCATGAAAACATCAGACTTCCATCTCTCTATCTCCGAAGGTAAATATTTCAGAGTAAAATTTAATTTGATGCTTTATCACGTGTTTTAATAAGCACAGAACTTGAGGCATAAGCTTAAATCATGCTCAGCCTTTTTAAAGCCATGTATGTGAATTTAGGAAGCCAGGAGGACGGATGAATAAACAAACTTGTTTCTAATAGACTGAAGATTCACAGAAGCGGGCGAAACATACACACCAAGACAACACGCGCTGAGAAATGACCCCCTTCCCTCCCCTCCCCCACACTACAGCCCTGAGTCTGAACTACATATGCATCCCATAATCTTATTTTAATTCTTTCCAAAAACGATCCATATATAATTGTGGGTTATAAGATGGTCTTATTCTGATTAAATATGAGCGATTTCTTCAATTCTTTAGCTAAACTACACATCGACCAAAGTGCCCCCACCCTCCCAGAGGATGGGTCGAATTCGGATAAGCGACTGACTCAAGGGTCAACATATGTCTGACAGCTTTTTTTGTTGTTGTTTTTTTGTCCCTTTCTGAGTAAAGGTGTTTGTAATTCACATCACGTACACGGTGTTCTAGGAAAGGAAGTTGTTTCACCTTTATGAATATTTCAAGAATTGATTTTCGGTTTCGAGTTTCTGTGAAGTAAAATGCTATATTTAGTCGTTCCTAGAAAAAGACGTCGGGTAAGAAAATTTTTTGCGCCAAAAGGTTAAAACTTCTGAAAATCCTTCCTAGGCAAAATGCTTCTGTTGTAATTTATTTTCTAGACCTGCGATTTCAAACTGTGTTTCGAAGCCATTATTTCAATTTGCAAATCAGATTAAAATGAATTGCACCTCCCACGTGTTTAGCGTGTGTTTTCCCGCAAATTTGTGTTTCAGTCAGTATTGCATGGCACTTTATTTGCTGTGACTCTTGTGAACCGAAATATTCGATTCGTGCAGGGTCCTTGTGAGTCGCGATACATTTTTTTGAAGAAGAATTAGAACGACAAGAATTAATTGAGCTGAAATGCAGGTCTTAGCCTTTTCTGAGAAATTGAGCTCAAAGGGCATCATTTCTCATGCACTGTCAATCAGGATTGAAAGCGAAAATATGGTTGGGTAGTCACATTACCCAAAAGATATGCATGTACGTGCTCTCAGATTAAGTAGCCGAGGTAAATACTGTCTCTGATTAGTCAGTTTGACAAAGGTATTTCCTCCGCGCCCACTATTACGTCAATAATATTGACCCAGTATTGGTTTGCATTACGTATTGCTTTAACTGACCAATCACGATTCCGAATTTTTTCTATTTTTGGCCAAGGGAAATTCCCTCATGTAGTGTCTGACAAACGCAGCATAACACCCTCGCATTTTCACAATTTCACTCAGTTTACCTTGTCACTTCGAAGTAACGAGAAGGTTCAAGCCTCGGTGATCTAGAAACGTAAAAAAACGTTTACAAGAAACGCTTTCTTTCCCGATTTTTCACGACCAAAACGTGTAAGGTATGTTGGCTTACGGGTGAAGAAACCTTTTCTGAATGTTGCAACGTTTTTTCGTTGTTTAGCAGCGCTTTCTAGGATTCACCCCTACGACTTCCTCTTTCGAAAGCGTGTCATCTCGGATACCACGCACTTTGTAGCTTACGTTGAGTTTTACTATGTTTCGAATGTTATGAAATTTAAAGTCGGCTCTTTTCTTTCTAGAACGATTGATCAGAAAAGATGGCAAACATTCTCACAAGTACGCCGCTACTCGACCAGCTTAAGGTAAGAATCAACCCACAGATCTTCAATCGACGCCAAATTAATTAGATTCGCTTTTACTCTGCGCTGATAAATTTGTCACGAGAGGCGTTTATAAATAATTGTTTTCACACCTCAGAATATTCCCAATTGAAGCTGTGCAATTTAGCATCTTCATCAAAACCATATTACAGAGGCAGTGTCAGTTTTGTCAATTTCCATCACCGATGCGCATCTGCCCAAACAAACACCCACGTTCAGAGCAGAATATTCATGGTTTGTTTGTTTCCTTTTAGATGTTCGAATTATTGGGAACGTTACAGATGAACCAGTTAAATCCAGAAATAAATCAGTGGAACCACCAGTATAGCGTGCTCCTCGCTAATCAGCCTGGCGTCCCACAAGCGACTCCCGCCCCTGGCTTCGAACAACGTCTCTTTATGGCCGCTCCGAGCCAGCTGCTCGAACAACAAATTTGCGCCTCAACCATGCCAGGTACCAAAGATCGATCTTATTATGTTGGGAGCTATAGCGAGAATTTCACTCGACACACCCGAAAATTTTCTTTGAGAAAGCATCAAAACTGAAAGCAATCATGGCATGCTTTTTTTTACAGCTTCCACTGTATGTTGTTTTTAAACCTTCCTTGCCTTTATTTCAGGTTATGACTACGAAGAAGACGAACTTGATATTTTCAACGGCGAACCAAATGATGCCTCCTTTAATGTCGAATTGGCCAAAGCCGCCCTGCGAGGTATGCGAGGTATATGCGTATTTTCTTCTCTGTATTTCCTGTCGGGATAAAAGCATTATTCTGCCCTCTTTCTGTTGTAATAGGATTTTTGCATACTTTGGTTGCGAAACTAACTCGTTGCACAATCTGATTGGGTCTTCAGTTAGGCGTGGGTTCAATGCCCTCAAGGCACATGAAATTATTTTGCAATAAGGAAATTTGCATATCAATTATGCAGATTGGCTGCAAGAATGATATGGTGACAATTTATGACAGACACTTGTCAATCAATTTACAAGTACCAAGTGTCATTTTGCAAACCTTTGTGAGTGTCGGTTTGAGATTTCGAACGATCTGTGTACCCTCGTGCTTGCTAGGAGTTATATTTTCTCTCAGTTTCTTTGTAGGGTGGAAGGCCTATCAAAGCTGATTATTTATTTTCTATTTTTCTAGATATTGATACCAACCAAATGCCAGACTTGTCAGTCTTTGAAGATTTTCAGGATGAAGGATACAACCCCTCCCTTGAGGAAACATACCAGCCACCTTCATCGCCAGTGCTCTTGAAGATGGAAGCAAAATCTCCGAGTCCATGTGGATCAGAGTGCAGCTACTCATCAGCCAGTCCACCTCACAGCCCTAGCATCAGTGAAGCTAGTTACAACACCTACAGCACAGATGAGGGATTTGTGTCTGAGGATTTGAGTGACCTTGATGGTGAGTTGGTGTAAAGAGAAAGCTAGCTTCTATAAAATTGCTTTCTTCTTGACATGTTTTTAGCAATCTAAATCACTTCATTTATTTTTACCACAGAAATTCTGGATAGAATGAGTTCTTCTGGTTCCCCTGCATCAATTCACAGTGAACCTGAGAAACTTCAACCAGTTGTGGTCAAAGAAGGTGAATATTGATACTGCTTCAGTGCATCATTTTCATTCCTTTAAGAAATGCTCTTGACATTGATTTTTAGGTCTTTTTTTTTTCCTCATGAGAATGCTAAGTCATGTGTTGTTGTTCTTTTAGAAGTACCTGAGAAAAAGAAGCGAAGTAAGCGTGGACCTAAGCCACCAGTCAAGTATCGAGGTGGGTGTTAACAGAAACTTGTTTCTTTGATTTGGTTTAGTTTCGTTTTGTTTTGTTTTTTTATCAATATGCAATCCATCAGCTGAATAACTGAGTTACCTTTGTGGCTCTATTTGCACAAATATATGCATGTTTTATTCAAGAGTTTGTTTCTTTATGCTTAATCAGGTGATGGCCCAATTCAGTTATGGCAGTTTCTTCTTGAGCTCATCATCGGCAGCGAAACCTCGCACCTGGTGAAGTGGACCCAGGAAGAAGACTACGAATTTAAGATCCTGCAGCCTGCAATTGTGGCCAAGATGTGGGGAAAGAAAAAGAACAAGCCCACAATGAACTATGAGAAGCTGAGCCGTGGTCTCCGCTACTACTATGGCAAGAACATCATTGAGAAGGTCCATGGAAAGCGATATGTCTACCAGTTCATGTGTGACATCCCTAAGATCCTTGGCTATGACCCAATGGTGAACAAATGTGAAGACTTTGCAGAAGATTCTGTCTGTGGAGAACCTGTGATGTCTCCTGAAGTTGAAGATCTGCTTCTGACCACCTCTGTTGAGGAAGGAAAGATGGCTGGATCTCTTGACTTCAGCTTGCTCATCCAATAGTTTTCCCATTGTTTTTGTTGATAACCCAAACGTGTATTGCTTCGGTGATTTTCCTAGTAGCTTGTATCAAGCGAAAAAGTGGTAGTATAAGCCTCTTTTTTATGAATCGTATCGATTCCTTCCCCCCAATTGCAATTTTAGTAGCAAGTTATACAATTTTCTATTAAAGTTTTTTCTAAGTGAGGTTTCTTTGTAGGGTTGTATAATTTACTAGTAGAGATTCAAACAAACATTTTTGCATACTGGGTATGCTGAGAACAATCCCAGTAAAAATGACAAGCAAGTTAATTAAGGTTTTTTTAAGTTTTTGCTCTTATTTGTTGTTAAAAACAGTGAAAGACAAAAACAATAGTTAATTTAAAAAAAGTTTGAAACAGTATAGTAGGAAAGAAGCCATATGTGTGGCTTCTGTTCATGGCATACCTTGGTAATTCATTGAATGTACAACAAAAGTAATGATAAAGTTTCAGTTTATCAAAATTTACTGTAGTTTTACTAGTTGAAGATGACTCGGTTTGTAGATGCCAAGAAGTGAATGTTCTGCTTCTTTGGCTTAAAAAGTACTTAATATGTATATAGTTGTGTTTTGGTTTCAGGTTAATCATATTGATTAACTCCCCAAGTATATTATCATTATCCCCTCGGCTACTGAGTAGCTTTCATTTGTCTGTAAACCAAATACAGTTGTAAGTAATGAATATAATTAAGGCTCAATTAAAGTAAGTTAATGCAGATTTAAAAAAATGTCTTTTGATTTGTGTCAAACTTTGTCAACAAGGCCTGTTGGTTGGATTTTACCATGTTAGGGTTGGGGGAAAGTAACTTTGGATGGAAACTGAATAAAAATTGCTTAAGCATTTAAATATTGTAGAGACCTTTTAAACATGGAGGACTGTCCATAGTTTCTGATCTAATCTTTCCTGTTATTTGTCAAAACAAAAAAATGGGTTAAAGAAGGAAAACATTTTGGGTCAAATTTGAAATTCTCTTTATTGTCGACCATACAATTCTTTTAATGTTTAGTACTGGATCAACTGATTATCCCCAAATTGAAATTTTTTTTTATTCTCATCACTTTTGTGGTTGATAGCATATTGAATATTGTAAGGAGAAATTTTGTCTTGATCACTCATGGGAGTTAAAAGGGTTAAGAGATAAGTGGATAACCTCCATTCAATGATTAGAACAAAACTTGAAAAAACGAGCACTGACCGAAAATTTTCGGGAAAAGGAGAGATGACTAAGATAATTAAGATAATGTAAGGGCCCAGGTGTGTGAAAAGAGTTCTTTTTGGCAGCCCCAGCATTGTGGAAGACTGGAGACTGATGCCATGGCTAACAGAGGTGAGGACACAACTGAACCACATGCAACTTCCAGTCTCCACCTAGATGAACTCTTCATCAATAAAAAGCTTAATTTTTTTGTAAACAACTGCAGACTGATGCTGTGGCTAACAGAGGTGAGGCCACAACTGAACCACATGTTACTTCCCGTCTCTGCCTAGATGAACTCTTCATCAAATAAAAAGCAACTTTTTTTGTAAACAAAAGTGTTTGTAGGAGGCTTTGATAAACCCACAGCTTGTGAAATAAAACTGAGGTCAAACTCCTTTAAATCATATGCCCGTTACAATAAAAACTTAAATTTTATAGGTACAAAAAAAGGTCAAGTAAAGGTATGATAACAAAAAAAAAAATAAATAAATAAAAGCAATCTAAATAATAAACAGAACAAAAATCCATATAAGAAAACAATTAAAAATACTAATAACCTAAAATATAATTAATATTTCAAATGTTCAACAAGAGATATAAATTAGGTGTTAGTTTTTTGTCTGTTTTGTTTACATGTTCCCCCCGACTCTAAGCTCAAAGTGCATAACCATAATTTTCTTCAAAATATGGGTAGGGGGTGGAAGTGGGGGTATCTATATTGTTAGACGGGATAACTAGTGTTTTTGCTAATTGATCCACCTCTTACCCTGTCTCACTATCTTAACTCGTAAAGAGTTATGACTGTGAAATACTAATTTTTTTCGCGTTTAGGTTAAAATGTTCACCGAAAAGAATATTTAAGGTGTAGTGCTTTAGTCTAAATTTTTTAATTTTATTTTCCTTATACTGGATTTTCCAGCCGCCAGGAGAGAAAAGAACTATTTTACAATGTAAAATTTTCCTCATATCCCAATATTTATCTCTGAACGATGGCCGTGAAGTACTAGGCCCCATTATTCTAAGAAGGAAGTTGATGTGACGTCACATCCAGTTTATCGCCAGGTGTCGCACGTTGCTCTTCAAACTTTTTTACGTGGGAAGGAAATCGGAAAAGAAAGGGAACGATTACTTTGTTCTTGTGCATAAACTAACAAAATATTCATATGAGGAGATCGGTTTTTCGCCTCTTCGTCGAATAGAAGGAACGATTTGGCGGAGAATTCGAGGCTGCAAAGGTGTTTCCGGCGGAAGGTTGCGTTCAAGTAAGTTCTCGCAGGCAACGCGTTGCATTTAGTCGAGCGGAAATAGGATTCTGTCGTGTTCTTCTCTCCTCTATTGTAAACAAACTGCGAAGCCAACGATACGGTTTTAGATTTTCGATATCTTGCCTCGTTTATAACGATATCCTGTGCTTTTGCAGTGATTTTGTCGCGATTCCCAGCAACGAAGGAAGTATTTGAGAGCGAGTTACTGCCCGATCAGTGAAGTAAACAGGAAAAGTTCAAGGCGTCTTGCTGCCTGGGGGACGATAAAGTTGCAGGTATTATTGAAATGTTATTGATCTGTACCGTAAGTCGAACTTTATGTGTTCAGCTTGAGGTGATTTCGTTTTCGTTTAACTTGATTTAATAGTTTCAAGAACATGTATTCTTGTTTACTTTAGTTTGCAATCAAAGGAAGTCAAAGACGGTTCAGATCGGAAAAAGCATGAAGTTCGAACCTGATCTTATGGCGGGAAATTTGCGCTTGCATTGTCCTTTTTCTGACCATTAGTTAAAATATTATTTTACAGTTCTGCGTTAGAGTCAATTTGAAACGATTTTCTACGGGAAAAAATGTCGTGAACCTTGTCTGATGATCGGTCGCTTTCAAGGCCGTCGTTGTTTTCAGTGACGCACGACTTCGAGATCGGAAATTACTTTCCATTGATTTGTTCATTCATTATTATCAGGATTTCCTCGTCAAGAATCTACACTTTCGCATAAATTCATGTTTCAACTGCAGATAACCTTTTTCCTTCTTCTCGATTAATTATGAAATCTAGTCCTATGACTTAAAGAAGAGTCTCCAGTCAAAACAAGATGTTGAGCATTTCATGTCGTTGTCAACTTATTTCCCTTACTACTTTGTTTAAATTGTGGCATTCATGTGGCAAATACACACAAAACAAAACAAAAAAAAAGTGCATTTGGAAATCTCCATGGCCTGTGGCAGGAAAATACTGAGGGTTTGGTGTCTGCTTCATAAAATTATGAATTATAAATCGCCAGAACATTTTTTTTGGAATAAAAGAGGAAAAAAAATAAGCAAAGAAATAAGTCTTCTTCTTTGAGCATTGCAGTCACGTGGGTTGGTTAACTCAGCTTGTCAGATCTTACCTTTTATAAGATAAAGGAGACATAACCAATGCCCTGATTGGTCTAAAACATATCATTTATAACACTGGTAAATCCATTGAAAACTGAAACATTTTTAGTTTATTTTATAATTGCAGTAGACCACTCTTTTGCAACTTTTCTTGTGTTTTTGTAACATCCTGCATGGTTTATTATGTCAGTAGATTGATAGAAAGTGTGGTCTATTGCTTCAATAATTCATGATTTTGCAAAAATTACATTTGGTGCACCATGGTGACAATGCATGCGAGGGACAAGTCCAGTTACCAAAATCTCTCTAAATGATTGCAATACAGTATTTCCTCAAATAAACACCAGATGCCTTTTTAACATTTTAGCTAAAAGGTGGAGGGGGTGCTTTAACTTAAGGAAGGGTGGTTAATTAAGGGGGCACCTATTATTCTCCTGCACTGATTCTGCAATAGTTGAAGCTTAAAAAATTATAAATTAACTTGCAATAGAAATAGGTTTTCCTTGTACCCCTTCTATTTTAGAAAGTGTCAAGGAATAGGGGGCACTTGTTTGAAGGGGTGCTTGCCTAGGAGGTGGGTGCTTATTTGGGTGGTTATAAGAGTGTTGATTCTTATTCAAGGAAAAACAGGTCTGGGCAATCTGAGCCTGAAATTTATCAATTTTCAATAGAGTGTCAAAAGCACAGTGTAGTAGTCTGGGGCTGGTTCTGAAACTTACTCTACTTTCTCAACCAGTCACAATGGAAAGTAACTCCAAGCATGACTTGGTTACTAGCATTTCTTGTGCCTCAGGCACAATATACATTTTCCTTTGTTCTGATTTGCAATTGTAGTAACTTTGTGTTATATTTTACAAAAATTAATAGAAATATTCTCAAAGCACTAATAGTAACCTCTTCACTTCCAAGGTCTATCAATAATTCTCTTTCTTGTCTGCCATACAGGTTTTTATGATCTCAGCTTGCAAAATTAGGTAGTGGATTGACAAAAAATACCCCTATTGATATTTTTCTTAACTGCTATCACCTTTCTGCTTGATACTGCATTGATATTGTAAGGAGAAATTCTGTCACAGCCAATTTAATTTTCAGTGAAGCACCAAGAGTGCATTGGTTGTGATTGGTTTTTATTAACAAACTTGTGGCTCCATGTTAGAACAAACATTATTTGCAGTGACAGTTTATAAAAGTGTCAGGGTTCCAAGCTAAAATTGTTCAAAGTTGCCATTTGGTGAGCTACTGTAGAAAAACATAAACTGGGATGCCAGAAATTAAATTTAAGTTGGCAGTGAAATATACACTTTGGTCAATAGTGATCGACCTGCTTATTCAAATTGCTGATCTCACGTCTTGTGGAGAGATTTCACTCCATCTTAACACTCAGATAACCAAAGAGGAAGGAATTTGTTTGTACAGAATAAAAGAAGAAAACCACAAAGCATTTCTTAAGTATTATTTTTAGGAACTGCCTGCAGTTTATTGGAAACTTGATTATCCAGATCTCAATTATCTGGATTTTTTGATTTTCCAGACTTGCTTCTCTGGTCCTATTATCTTTGAACATTTATGTTCATATTTTTAATTAATGGGATAATTAATGTTTGATGCATCTCACTTTGACTACAGCTCATAGAAACCAAGTCAAAGAACTGTTACAACTTGCTACATGACTGAAAAACACAGGGCGATGAAATTACAACTCATATTGCAAATATAGTAACCAAGTGTTTGTTCTAGTCACCATAGAGACCTCAACAGCTCTAGCTTACTTGTCTTTTATTACGCTATGCATTTGTGTTGCCTTTGTCATAAGTTTTTACTGGTTCATTTTGACATTTTCCTTTCAATGTTCTGATTGGTCAAATTTTTCTTAACATAGGTGTTGGTTTTAATTTACCTAATAAAAATGTTCTGTGGACATGTTCAGCCACCATGTGTTAAGTGACATCAAAATAGTGTTGCATATTATCATTATTTTCTCTACTGTTACAGTGACGTCTTACAATAGCTGCCCCTGGTGATTCTACCATGGATACCAATAATGGAACCCTAGGTAGCCCCATGCAATTGCAGTGTAATGCTGCAAGTTCTGCAGAAGATATTAAGAAGTTGTTGGGAGAGAAACTGCAGAGGCAACTTACTGATTATTCAGTCATCTTCAATGATACAGAGGTACATTGAATAATAAGAAAAATTTTCAGCAATTAATCATGTGGTCTCATCTTGTGGATGAGGGGAGTCCTTAGGAGGACTATTGTTGGTGGGGGTGACTGACCTTTGGCAACATTTTGCGACAACCCAAGCAGAAGTCATCATTAGAGTCAAATAATTAAACATAATGCTTTGTCTAAAATATGAAAATCCCTCTTCTAAGATTGAGGTGGAAATTTCTATATGATGTTAGCATTGACGTACTCCAAAGTAACTGAATTTTTGTATACTGTTTTTATTAATAAATAGGTTGGATTTTTTTTTTAAAACCAGTTTGCACTTTTTGGATATTTATTAAGTAGATGGTGTGGTAAAACACCAACTTATCCTAGCCAATACATGTACATGTTTTCAACATTACAGCTGTAAAGGTGTAACTCTATAGATAACCCTTAACTCCCAGAAGTGATTGGCATGTAATTTCTCCCTTAAATACCCATACATTATCCAGCAAACAGGTCATGAGAATACTAAAACTTATCAAGTAGAAGTTGTTACCTTGATCTAACACTAAATTCTTGTACATGTAACTAATTTACAAGGAAATGTCTAACAGTGAGAGGGGAAAATTAATAATCAGATCTTGGAAGATAATGGGTAAGATTTAACCCTTAACTCCCAGACCAAGTTTGTAATTCTCCTACTGTCAACCATACAATTCTTACAATGTTAGTTTGGAGAATTTTGTATTGGATCAACCAATTATCCCCAAATTGATATTTTCTCAATTCTCATCACTTATCTGGTTGATATTGTATTGATATTGTAAGGAGAAATTCTGTCTTGGTCACTAACTTAAGGGTTAATAGAATAGAATTATGGAGAAAATGGAAAGGTAAGGACAGTTTTTTTTTGGGAGGGGTGAAAAGATAGGAAAAAACTCCCAGAATCAATCATGGTCTTTATGTACATACAAAGTCAATCCATGTAAATCAAAAAAATATTTACATTTTATTTTTCTTCTTTAACTATTAAACAGCTGACAACTGTCCACAGCATTCTGAAGGATCAAGGTTTGGGAAATGGAGGTCTGGACCAAATTTTTACCTTACTCATTATTTTAAATGGTGAGTTTTTGATTGATACCAATTTTCATTATTGTTTTTTTATGTGTATTTTTCTTAATGTAATAATTTTGAAAGGTATTTTTGTTGATAATATTAATGAAATCTTATTTACCATAGTTTAACTTTTTTTACCAGCAATTATCCATCACTCATTGAGATCTAATTTTTTTTTTCTTGACAGAGGAAAATCGAAGAATAGAAATCACCAGTATTCAAACTGCCTCACAAGGTATTATTATCATAATGATAAATATTTGATGCACAGTTAATGACTCACACACTCACAATGCTCAGATCTGAGCAATGAACACTTGATTTAAGGGGCCTGCTGGGTAATTTTCTACGGAATTAAAATAGCTGGCAAGGTTTACTTTATATTTCAAAATTATTTTGTTTGACTTTTTTCTTTCTTCAATAAGTTGTCACCAAAGCGGTAAAGACAACAAGTGTGTTGAACATTTCACAATGTTTCTCTTGGGAAGTTTACCTGGGAGCCTAAACTTTGTGATTTGAAGACCCTGTTTCCCAAGCTTGCTTGCAAACATCTGAATGTGGGCCATTACTCCAACATGTCTTTGATTTATTGCTCATACATGTACACATACATGTTAATGTTTATGACTATACATTGTACTTGCTACCAACTTTTCATTCAGATGTACTGAAAACTGTTCACCATTTCAAAGCAAATTGCCCAAGTTGTTGCTTACATGTACATGTATGTGATTTATGTAATTCAAACTGGCACTACAAAAAGATTTGAAATGTTGTAATTATAGCACATTTTCTTATGTTCCAGTGCTAGCTCTGCATGTGAGTTGGGTTTGTTCTTGGGTGTTTTCTTTACACCAATGTTTTTCTCAGGTGATCCTGCTTTTCTTCCATCCACAAATTAACAGCCAACATGCAATAAATTCTACCTCAGCTTTGCTCTATATATTTATGTTGTGAAATGAGTTCTTGAACTTATTTGCTTTACATATACATGTACTCTGTTTGTATAGAAGCAAAATACTGCTAGTTGAGCTCGTAGGAGAGGAAGTCAAGTCTAATCTTAGGAGTCACTAGTCTAATCTTGGGAGTCACTAGTCTAATCTTAGGAGTCACTAGTCTAATCTTGGGAGTCACTAGTCTAATCTTGGGAGTCACTAGTCTAATCTTGGGGTCACTGGTCTAATCTTGGGAGTCAGTATTTGCAGAGACTATTTTTCTGGTAAAGGTCAAGACTAATTTCTCCTGTTTCAATTTGCCTTTTTTTGGTTGATGATTCCTAGTTGGTATGCCACCTCTTCCAGTTGTGGAACCTGAAGTCAAGATGAGCAGTGTGGAGATCCAAGCTGTCTTTCCGTTAGTGGCTACTGCTGAAGAACCTCCCAAGAAGCGAAGAAGGTCATCAGGATCCGCCACAGGAAAAGGTACAGATTATACTTATACTAAAAAACAAGTATTAAAAAAATTTAAATTTGTTTTCATTCTTCTAATGTAAGTGGTGTTTCATCAATTCCCAGATCTCATTGTTAATTCCCCTTACTGTTTTGTATACAATTCTTATGATGTTAGTTTGGAGAATTCAGTTTTAGATCTACTAATAATCCTCTAATTGACATTTTCTTCTTTCTCATCACTTGTTTGCTTGCTATTAATTGTGTTGTTATTGTAAGGAGATTCAATTCCTTCTTGGTCACTCATGGGAATTAAATGGTGAAAGAGTTCAATTGTTAACTTACACTGGAGAATTGCTGTCCCTTTAGAATAATTTGAATTCAAAGTAATTGTTAAACAGGGTAAGGTCTCTAGTTTCCTCGTTCTTTATGGTTGCTAGCTTCAGGTATGTCAAGTGTTTTCTGAAAGAACAGTTCCCCTTCATCTTCTTTTTAATATATACATATAAGTTTATAGTTTGATTGTTTTTTAGAAAGTTCGTTGCACATTACACAAGCTGACCCAGACTGTCAAATAATATTATTATAAACAATGTGACTTTTCAATAATTCTTATAAAATTGGATTTTGTAGATAGGTAACCAAAATATTACATGCATTTCAGTAGGATTGATTAAGGAGAGAAATGAAAGGAAGTCATTTATTTCAAATTGATTATTCACAGTTAGCAGTGGATGACCATGAGTTGGTTCTTCCTGTCCAATGTTTTATGCTTGAATATTATTAGCATTTGGGGTTTTTTGTTTAGGCAATAGTATTTAGTGCCATTATTGCTGTTTCATATGTGCATACATGCTAAACATATTGGCCCAGTTGTTCAAAGGCTGATTAGTGCTAACCCAGGGTTAAATTTTAATCCAGGTTTCTATATTTCTCTGTTCAAAAGCCATTTTGGAATAATTTTACCAACTGTTTTTAGAGCATTTATTTATCAAATTGTAGTCAAAAAGAAATAAACTGAATTTGCTCTTCAAGCTTTCAGATCTGCAATCAAATTTCTCTCTAACCTCAGGTTATCTTAACCCAGCTTTGAACAACCCGGCCCTGAAGAGTTTCTTTGGATTTGATATATGTGAACGCACAGTGACACATTACAGCTTCAAGTGTTAATATAGCAGCAAGGATTTTATTGCTATATGGTTATAACCAGCTTAGCAATGAAATGTTTTTTCTTTCCAATTACATTTTCAGGTAACGCTAAACCTGGTCAGCAGCTTGCCTCAGTATCTCAACAAGTTCCTGTCATCAGTTGCACTAATTCTGATAGTGAGTGGTCAAATATATATTTTTTCATTCCTCCAGTGACATAATTATAAGGAATTTTTATTGGAGGGGGTGTCCATACTTTGATTAGAAAACACCAAACCTTTTCCTCAAAAGCTCCCTTTCTGTGCAAGTATTTTGTTTAAAGATACATTTATCATGAATAGTCAGGAGAGTGGTATTATGGGAACCTGTCATTGCAAGAATTTTGGTGTTAGACTAGTGATAAAAGAACCCGAGAACCTGATGGGAAGGAGGGGTCCATCCTCTCAACCCCTCCATTTGGATAGGTCACTGAATTTATATTCAGGGTTTTATTAGAAGGCAGGACCTGGGTTCAAGCACCAGGTTACACAAGTGTCAGTAATTTCTTTTGTTCACATGGGTCATAGCTGAAATCAATTGTAACTTTAAGTTTTTGTCAGGCCATGCTCATAAAGATGCCCAGGCATTTAAAAGTGTAATGAAACTGCTGCTAAGAACAAGTTATGTATTTTTTCTTAAAAGGAAAGTACTGAGGGCATTCAATGGCTCAGTTTTAATTTGTAGTGAAATATTAATTAAAAATAAACTTCAACCTAAAAGTTGCTTACATGCCCAATTGCAGGCAATGTCCATGCACAGCAGATTTCAGTCATAAAGAATGGTAAGTTACAAGAACATGCATAGTTTGAGTATGTGTATGTATTTTAAATGTGTCTACTACTAGAAAAAGAATAGTGATTTTCCTGGTAAACAGCAACTCTTGCAATTGATCCTGATATCCCCTGCACATTGAAAATGAGAGATTTATTCTTCCCTAAAATGCTTTATATGTCACAACCATACATGTCATAGGCCCCATAAGAGTCAAATTGCCCTGATGTGATAGTCTGTGTCAATTACTCTGTAATCCCCAATAACTTTCTTGTAAGGTTTGTTGGCAAATAAGAAAATATTTTATTTTAACTCTGTTACTAATAAACATGGCAATATAAATTTCCCTGTGGCAACATGATGTTCACTGTTCAGAAATTGGAAACCAGATTTACATGTAGGTCTATACAGATAATATATAGATAGGAATGGACTTGGCTTGTTCCTTCTTGAATAATTTTTGTTTTTTTCAGTGTGTGACTCTATGTTTTGTTGGTAATATTTTTGTTTTGTTTTCTGTTTTTCACTTATTATAATATGCTTTTGAATCGTACTACACTGTAGGTTTGGAAAATTCTTCTGGTAAAGATGAAGCATCCTTAATTGGAATCACTCAAGCACAAGGTTCATTCTCTCTAAAAGGTAAGCTTTTTGAACCATCGCTGTTAATGTTGCACTGCTTTCAAGAATAATGGCATATGTACAATGTACACCTAGTTGTTGTTTTAGCAGGCTCTGTCCAAAGGTACTCTATGCTCTTTTATAGTTGGGTTTATGGCCAAAAGGGAATGTTTGAGCTTGTGCAAGTTATTTTTATTAACCCTTTTACTCCCAAGATCTGCTTGTTAATTCTCCTCTCTAGCTGTTACATATAGCCTAGTAAATTGGCTGTGAAAATCTGGTGTTGGATCAACATAGCAACTTCAACCTGATAATTTTAGGTGTTCTTGTTACCTGAATGCTAGAAAATGTATTGGTATTATAAGGAGAAGTTACTGATTAATCACTACTGGGAATCATTAAATCTAAACTATCTAAATTTAAGGCGATAGTTTTTGAATATTTTTTAGAACACGATAAATCTAATCATTTATGTAGTTTAAAATAAGTATTAGCTTTCCTATATATTTTATGTTATTTTAATTCATACTTTAGTTCTTTATAGGGTTTCTCCTTTGATTTTGATTGATACTATTTATCATGCTGATCACTAGTTCATACCAGCCAATCTATTAGATTGCTGATTAGTCTTATCAGTTGAAATAAAGCTTATTTTAATTATTATTATTATTATTATCAAAGAGTTAACACTTTTGGGTTGAAATGAGAAGCCTCAGATGAGGCTTCCACCAGTTGATGCCTTTCCATCCCAAGTACCCCTTTGTCAGTTTGCTTGTAGGTGTATGCTTTAGGTCATTTTCATGTTGAAATTTGTGGCTTTCAGGTGTTCACTTCAGATGAAGTGGGAGAGAAAATTTCTTTGACATAACATTTTGCCTCCATTTTCCCAATGCCCTGAACATGAACTTGAATTGAAGGGATTTTTGAAGTGACCCTTCTGTTTTACCTGCTTCCTCATATGTTCAATACTGATTTTGTCCCTTTTAATAGTTTTTTTGTTTGCTCAATGTAGGTTTGGCAGGAATTGGGTCAGATCCCCCAACATTAATTCTGCAACCATCATCTCAGAACAGCTCAGGAGAAGATAAATCTCCATCTGCAGGTATGAAAGAGTAATTTGCAGTAAAAAAGTGAATCATTGTCCTGGTATATCAGTGTGAGCGTGCAAATGGAATTGACTTTCCAGGGTACTCAATAAAGTTCTAGGAGAGAATGAACAAACCATCAAATTGAAAATATATGTAACTATATAAAAGCACCCTTTCTCAATCTCCCTGTAGAATACAATTCCTTTTGTACAGATTGCATAATTATCGACTTAGCTTTTTATTTATTCAGGTGAATCTTGCTAAACCAACACCATGTCAAGATGTCCACCACCCTTTCATGAAATTTTTTGTACCCAGCAACAAGGTTTTGGCCAAGTTCTGACTACCAGCAAAATTTGGTGGATGAAAAAACAAAATCTTTAGTTGGATTTTTGGCCAGAAAATATTCAATACAGCGCAACAGGCACTTCTGAGGTTACGAACTCACAATCCTTCAGTTTCAAACACTATCTTTGTGCTGCCTTGCTTTAAATTTCAGTTGGCAGCCTAATTTCTTAGCTAAAACCCAACTGAAAAGCCGGGTAAATTTAGAAATCTGTTGAAGTATGAATTAAACTAAACTGTTGTCTTTTGGTATTCTCTGTATGCGTGATACAGATGCTGTGAGCGGTGAAGAGGAAGAAAAAGCAAAGAGTATTGATGGAAAAACATGTCCAGGCAACAGATCAGGTAGCTGTACCAAGGCCCACCAAAACAAATTTAAATCTTTTTTAACATGAAAACTTTGTGGACAAGTTGTTAAAATTTGTGCTCAACTCACCGTGATGTTCGTCTCGCTGGTTCTGCTCATGTTAAATAATTGCATGGAGTTTTAACTCTTTACACCTTAATACCACTATGAATATTCGCCGTACTGTTCTCTATACAGTTCCTTAGGTGCTGACAAGGAGAATTTGCTGAGCAATCAAGAGCTTCTTTAGTCCTTGATCATTTCCTTTTTTCTCGCGACCTAAATGTTTAATAACGAGGAGAATTTATACATTAGGTCACACTTAGGGGTCAGAGAGTTAATTTTAGTTGGGGTGTCATGGTGTTCTATTTTTGTTTTGTTATTGTTGTTGGTGTTTTTTCCTTGAAAAGCTTTAACTGTAGAGGG